CTTGATCTCTTGATCTCATGATCCGCCTACCTTGGACTTCCAAAGTGCTGGGATTACAGGCGTGCGCCCCTGGCGCCCGGCCAGCCCTTTCTTTCTTTCCTTGTTTGGAGAGAGTCTCTCTCACTCTGTTGCCCAGTCTGGAGTGCAGTGGTACGATTGTGGCTCACTGCAGCCTCAACCTCCAGGGCCCAAGCAGTCCTCCCACCTCAGCCTCCTGAGTAGCTGGTGCATGCCATCACACTTGGCTAATGTTTTGATTTTTTGTAGAAATGGGTTTCCGCTATGTTGCCCAAGCTGAGCTCAAACTTCTGAGCTCAAGTGGTCCTCCTGCCTCCACCTCCCAAAATATTGGGATTACATGCATGAGCTACTTGCACCCAGCCCACTCTATCATGTTGCTTTATCATTTTCTCTCTAGATAAATAGCCATAGACACACACACACACACACACACACACACACACACACACACACACAGATGTAGATACACATTTTCTTTCTGGGTCCTTTGAAAGTAGGTTGCAGATGTCATGCTTCTTTACCCCTTAAGTACTTCCTAAAATAAAGCCTTTCTTTAACATCATCATAGTATGATTCTTTTTTTTTTTTTTGAGACGGAGTTTCGCTGTCATTACCCAGTCTGGAGTGCAATGGTGCGATCTCGGCTCACCGCAACCTCCGCCTCCTGGGTTCAGGCAATTCTCCTGCCTCAGCCTCCTGAGTAGCTGGGATTACAGGCACGCGCCACCATGCCCAGCTAATTTTTTGTATTTTTGGTAGAGACGGGGTTTCACCATGTTGACTAGGACGGTCTCGATCTCTTGACCTCGTGATTCACCTGCCTCCACAGTATGATTCTTTTTTTTTTTTTTTTTTTTTTTTTGAGACGGAGTTTCGCTCTTGTTACCCAGGCTGGAGTGCAATGGCGCGATCTCGGCTCACCGCAACCTCCGCCTCCTGGGTTCAGGCAATTCTCCTGCCTCAGCCTCCTGAGTAGCTGGGATTACAGGCACGCACCACCATGCCCAGCTAACTTTTTGTATTTTTAGTAGAGACGGGGTTTCACCATGTTGACCAGGATGGTCTCGATCTCTCGACCTCGTGATCCGCCCGCCTCAGCCTCCCAAAGTGCTGGGATTATAGGCTTGAGCCACCGCGCCCGGCCACAGTATGATTCTTAGAATCAGGAAACTTAACATTGACACTGTAGCCTACAGTCTATATTCAGATTTCTCCAATTGTCTCAAAAATGTCCAAAATAGCTATGGTTTTTTTCCTATCCAGGATCCAGTCTAGAAACACGCATTGCATCCTTGCCATATCTTTTTAGTCGCCACCTTTAAACTGGAACTGTTTTCCCACCTTTCATTGTTTTTTATGTCATTGACATTTTTGAAGAGTCCAAGCCAGTTTTTTGTAGATTCTCCCTCCGGTTGAGCTTATCTGACATTTCCTCGCAGTGAGATTCAGGCCTTGCATCTGTACTTGACCCTGTTCTTGCACACCCTGAACAGCCCGCTTGTGTAGTCCAGGAGTCTGGGACAACCTCCGTCCGCTCTCCTAGCCAGGTCACCACAGGCAAGCCTTGGCACTCTCGCCTGCGACATGGAAATGATGCCTGCCTGCAGCACTGTAGCGCAGAGCAGGGGAAGGGCATAGGGAAGTCACTGGCACATGGTATGCGCTGGCAGGGCTGCTTCTCACCCCAAACCAAGGAAAGGCAGGCAGAGGGGCTGAGAGCAGCGGCTTGACCTGGAGCTGTCAGGTAAGAGCCAGAGAGCAGGAGAGGCTGTGGGCTGCCCAGGCCTAATCCCTGACCCACTTGCCACCTGTGCCTTCAGTTCTTCCCCAATGGAGAGGCCATCTGCACGGGCTCAGATGATGCTTCCTGCCGCTTGTTTGACCTTCGGGCAGACCAGGAGCTGATCTGCTATTCCCACGAGAGCATCATCTGCGGCATCACATCCGTGGCCTTCTCCCTCAGCGGCCGCCTGCTATTCGCTGGCTATGATGACTTCAACTGCAATGTCTGGGACTCCATGAAGTCCGAGCGTGTGGGTAAGGGCCAGCCCTGGCTGCTGCTTCCTCAGCTGGAAGGACTCTCCCCAGCCCTCTCTCCCCATTCTGTACCCTTCATCGGCTCCCATTTCGGACTCTCTTACTGCTGTCCCTTGTGACTGGGTGACTCAACCCATGGAATCCAGTACCCCTTGGTTCCCAACCTAGGACTGTCTTCCCTCAATGTTGCTCTAAGCAGCCTCTCTCCACTGTCCAATGCCATGGCTGCTCCCTGCCTTAGGAGATGTGTGGACTCTGACTGTCCAGTCAGTTCTGGGTTCCTGGCATTTCAGGGGCACCCACTGAGAGGCAAGACAGTCTCAGGGAAATATGTAATCAAGGCAGAATCAAGGAGATCTGGAGTGGCCTGAGGGCCCTCACTCCAGCCTAGGGCTCGTCTAGGACTGTCCCGAAGCTGGTCAGATAGGATGATTTCTTCTCTACCGAGAGGTCAGGTGCTGATGAAGATAATACTGGCCGGAGGCAGAATCCAAATCCTAATTAGGTTGCTCACTTTCTGAGTGACTTTGCACAAGTCACTTCTCCATGGGCTTCAGTTTCTTCATCTGGAAACAAATAGGATGAATGGATTGCCTTGTTTTCCAAGGTGTCCTTGGTTTTTTTTCATAGCACACAGATCCTTCCTGGCTTTCCCTGTCTGATCCCAGCCCTCCCCCAACTGAAGCTCTTGACAGAGAACCCCCTGCCCTAGGGCTAATCCTCTTTCAGTCTCTCATCTTTCTTCTTCGAGGGTTGAGCCCAGCCTACCCAGTCTAGCATCCCTGCAGGCATGTGCTCAAGCACGCACGTGCACACACACCCCCACACACCTGCACACCTGCACACACACACGCATGCACACACTGCTTTCCAAATCAGCTTGGAGAGACATGGTGACTCCTTTCCCTCTTCCTCAGGCATCCTCTCTGGCCACGACAACAGGGTCAGCTGCCTGGGAGTCACAGCTGATGGGATGGCTGTGGCCACAGGTTCCTGGGACAGCTTCCTCAAAGTCTGGAACTGAGGAGGCTGGAGAAAGGGAAGTGAAAGGCAATGAAGACACTCAGCAGCCCCTCCCCGACCCCATCACATTCAGGTGTTCTCTTCTATATGCCAGGTGCCATTCCCACTAAGCTTTCTCCTTCGAGGGCAGTGGGGAGCATGTGGACTGTGCCTTTGGGAGGCAGCATCAGGGACACAGGGGCAAAGAACTGCCCCGTCTCCTCCCATGGCCTTTGCTCCCCAGTCCTCACAGCCTCTCCCTTAATGAGCAAGGACAACTGGCCCCTCCCTAGCCCTTCCAAGGCACAGCAGACTTCAGTCTTTGGACCCAGGCCCCAGGACTCCCCCCAGAGCCACTACGTTTGTCCAGACCTGGGTGGGACAGGGCTTTGGCCCTGTGACTATGGCTCTGGCACCATTAGGGTCCTGGCCCTCTTCTTATGCTTTCACCTTTTTCTACCTTTTTATCTCTCCTAAAACACCTGCAATAAAATGTAGCATCCTGGTACATCTGTGATGTTTGCCTTCCACTCCCTTCTGTTCCAAAAAGACCAAGGTCCCATGTAAGGGCAGTCATGTGTTACAGGTGCTGTGATAAAGGCTGGGTACTGGACAGATTGTGGGCTCATGGGAGGAGGTCTGAGATGGATCAGGAGAAGGTATTCAGCAGGCGGCTGGGGGACCTTGTGTGCAGCAGTTTGCTATGGCCTGCCTGTGGGGCCTAGGTGTGTGTTTGTATGGGAGGGTTAGACTGAGAAGGAATCAGATTATAAAAGGTCTTGAATGCCACGCCAGAGAGTCCAGACTTTTTCCTAAGGGCAATGGGAAGCCACTGAGGAGTTCTGAGCAGACTGGTAACACAATTATGCTTCTCCGAAAGATTGCTCCAGATCTTTCCGAAATAAGCAGTGTACGTTGATGAAAGGGAGGGAGGAAAGACTGGCATTAGGAAAGCAAGGTGGGAGGCAGGTTGCAAGAGCTGTGAGAGTGGTAGGTCAGAGGGGTTAGGGGGAGGGATTAGGAAGAGATTAAAGACATGGAATCGGCCAGAACAGTAGCCCATGCCCATAATCCCAGAGCCTTGGCTGAGGCAGGAGGATCTTTTGAGGCCTGGAGTTCAAGGCCAGCCTGGGCAACATAGTGAGACCCTGTATCTACATAAATTTTAAAAATTAGCTGGGAAGGCTGGGCATGGTTGCTCATGCCTGTAATCCCAGCACTTTAGGAGGCTGAGGCAGATGGATCACTTGAGCCTAGGAGTTTGAAACCAGCCTGGGCAATACGGCAAGACCCCATCTCTATAAAAAAAAAAAAAAACACAAAAATTAGCCAGGCATGGTGGTTCCTGCCTGTAAGCCTAGCTACTCGGAAGGCTGAGACAGGAGGATCGCTTGAGCTCAGAAGGTTGAGGCTGCAGTGAGCTGTGATCGTGCCACTGCACTCCAGCCTGGGTAACAGAACAAGACCCTGCCTCTAAAAAACAAACGAAGAAACAAAACATGGAATCACCAGGGTTTACTGACCAAGTGCTAGGATATAGGATATTGGGAGGGAAGGATTTGAGATAATGGCCAAGGTCTGGGTGTGGCAGCTAGGTAGATAAAATGCTGTCATTCATAAGGAAAGGGAAGAGGGAATGAGGAACAGCTTTTGGGGGAAGATCATAAATTCAGCTTTAGACAAACCGATGTTGAAGAACTTGTGGTCAGGTTAGACAGAGAGACCTGGAAGTTACCAGAATGTAGGGAAGTGACAGCTAAAGCTCTAGAGGCAAACACCTAGGGCGAGCAGGAGGAAAGGGCCAAGGACAGGGCCATGGGGACACCGCGGTTTAAGGGAAGTGTGCAGAGGAGGCTCAGAGCACCAGTGGACTCCGGCCAGGGAACGCAAGCTCTCTAGGCTGCCATTCTATACACAGAAGACTCAGTGCAAGGTTTAGATATACCTTTTGAAAGTATCATTTAAAATTACTTCCTTTAATATATAAGAAACACACAAGACACAAAGAAAGCCCAACAAAGCTCTTAGTCCTAGTTTGGTAGTTGAGGAGGAGTCTAAGAAAACAAGCCTTTCCTCAGTATCCCTGGGAGAGAAGGGGTGGGAGGACAGCTATCACCAGGCCCTGGGTGACTGCATGCTGGGGCCATGCAGGGTCTAGCTCTCCGCTAAGGGAAAGTGCTGATTTTCCTTGTCATGGTCCTGGCCTTGCTCCCATGCTCGTCCTCCAGTTTTCAGAAGGCGTCCAGTTCCAAGAATGGCTCCTTCCTTTAGTTCACTAACATTTTCACTTAGGGGTGAAGGCCGTTTACCCTGCAAAAGGCAGTATATAAGTTGGCGGGGGTGTTGCTGTTCAGGAGCGGGAAGATCTGGTAAAAGGGTCTCCCAGCCGGGCGCAGTGGCTGACGCCTGTAATCCCAGCACTTTGGGAGGCTGAGGCCGGCAGATCACCTGAGATCAGGAGTTCGAGGCCAGCCTGACCAACATGGTGAAACCCCGTCTCTACTAAAAATACAAATATTAGCCGGGCGTGGTGGCACGTGCCTGTAATCCCAAGTCTGGGCAATCCTAGCTATTCAGGAGGCTGAGGCAGGAAAATCACTTGAACCTGGGCCGCGGAGGTTGCAGTGAGCTGAGATCACGCCACTGCACTCCAGCCTGGGCCGTAAGAGCAAAACTCCATCTCAAAAAAAAAAAAAAAAAAGGGGCCTCCCACCCACTACATTGGACATTCTACTAACAGCTTTCACCTTCTCTTCCTTTACCTGTCGTGGTGTCAGGGTGCCAGGGGAGTTGTCATCCTGCAGGATGGTGAGCGGGGATCTCCCCAGTGCCTTGCTGCTGTTTGATTTCCATCTATTGCGCATAGAACCTGGGGTGCGTAAGGAATTAAAGCAAGGACCCAAAACTAGGGCTTACAGTTTATTCTTCCCACACTCACCCACGGACATTATCCTGGCTTATCTTCCCTACATCTTGCCTTTAGATTCTGTACCTGAAGATCTGGGAGTCTCAGGGTCCCTTGAGGGCTTGTCCGAGCTCTGGTTGGCCACAGGGGTTTCTGTGGGCTGTCTTGCTTCCTCCTTGGAAAACACCTGTTTGGAGGAGAACTCAGTCTGGTTCCAAGGTGGCATCTGTTCCTCAACAGATAACTGGGTACCCAGAGGCAGGTCCAATTCAGAAGATAAAGATGCCTCCGGGGACAGAACAGGCTCTGGGGGAGGATTCGATTTAGAGTCTTCAGTTTCATATACTTCACTCAGCTCTTTCACCAGTGGGCTTGGAGGGTCTAGAGGAAGGAAGTGAAGTGAACAGTGACCTTCTGATGCACATCGTTCAGCAAAGAACAAAAGATACAGGAACCTTAGGACTCATGCCTAGGTGGGTGAGCAAGTGGGAAGAGAGAAATCAGGAAAGCAATGTGAAAGGGAGCAATTTTTTTTTTCTTTTTTTGAGATGGGACTTGCTCTGTCCCCCAGGCTGGACTGCAGTGGTGTAATCATAGCTCACTGCAGCCTTGACTTCCTGGGCTCAAGCAATCCTCCCACCTCAGCTTCCTGGGTAGCTGGGATAACAGGCTCATACCACTGTGCTTTTTGTTTTTTTGTAGAGATGGGGTTTTGCCATGTTGCCCAGGCTGGTCTTGAACTCCTGGGCTCAAGTGATCTGACTACCTGGGCCTTCCAAAGTGCTGGGATTACAGGCATGAGCCACCATGCCCAGCCTGGGAACAAAAAAATGAGATGAGTGTGATGGGTCTGAGGATGGAGACCCTTCATGGACCCTACCCAAGAATAATAGATTACAGCTTCATCAGCATTCCCTGGGCCCAACACTTACCTCCAGTGCTGGTCTTCATAGGTGTCCGTGCAATACCAAGAGTAGGAGAACGGGGATCTGAGTCCTGGGCAGGTTTAAGATCCTCCAGTTGCTCCCCTGCTGCTAGGCCTGGCTGTGGAGAGCTCTCCACCTATTAGGACCATAGGCTAGAACAAGTCTGGGCCCTGACTCTTCTCTCCTCTCCTCCCCATATTCCAGAAAGGAATTGTCAAGGCCCTCAGATAGCCAGCCTACCCAAACAGATTGAGAATGCAGAAAATAAGGCCAGGATAAGGGTGGGGGCATGAGGGCTCTCTCAAAATCAGATTAGGAAGAGGCCCATGAATTCCGACATTTTCTGCCCTTTCCACTCTGGCCCAGAGTACCTGGATGGGAGTGCGCAGGATGCCAGCACTAGGTGAACGGGGGTCCGTCACTCGAGCCAGATGCTTGTTGTGCGGCGGAGGTCGCGCTGGGGTGACTGGGACGCTCTTGGCTGAGCCCATCTCAACCAGGAGTTGCAGGGTGGGGGCAAGGCCCGGCCCGGGACGAGGAGGGAATGCCTGTATGAAGTGACTCAGGTCTCAGCGCTTATCCCGACCACGTCAGATCTTCGACCCTAAACCACCCTATCTTCCCAGTTTCCAGTAGAGGAAGCCCCTGGCGGGAGACCAGAGGCCTCTGCGGGGTTAATGACTGCTGCAGCTGACCAAATGGCTCACTCTGGGCCTGCCGAGCCCTCTCACTTATTTATGGAATTATTCAAGTCACTTACCGGGCCCTAATTCCACCTCTGGGTGCACAACAGCTCGTGGCTCAACTCCCGAGGTTACAAGTTTCAAACTTCCCGCCACGCCCCCTGCCCTGATCCTATTGGCTCAGCCGACGTAGATCTCATAGGCCCTCCACGTAAGGCCCGCCCCGAGCCAGGAAGCTATTGGTCTGGGAGAACGTCTATCATGGTGACTGCAGGGGTCAATTGACTGATGCTGAACTTGCCTAGGGGTGACGCCTCCTTGATAAGGGGACTTCTGTTCAGCGGCGGCCTGCGAACCGTCCGTGGTGAGACTGAGGAGTGCCAGTCTTCGCTTTCGAGACCTCTAGTCTCCAAAATGAATTATTTTATTAAACAAAATAGAATCATGATTACACGATTATGCACACATCCAGCTGGAGTTGTGATGGTTTTCCTGAGGCGAGAGAGAGTAGCCTTATTGGTTGACAGATTTATCAATCACTCGACACAACCCCCTCAAGCTCCGCCTCGTCAGATACCCCCTTTTCAAATACCAAGACAACTGCCCCTCGACTTTCCGACTAGACAGGTCTCCAGAAAACTTTCTGGAATTGAGAGCTTTAAAACAACCGTCAGTTCCTGCTCTTCAATAGAAGGCACGCGAAGGGACTGTAGGGGGTCCCGCAGCCGGAGCAGTGGCAACTCAGGAGCCCACCTAGATGCTCTACGTGCGCTCCCGCCCTGGAGGAGTGGGATTGGTTGTTTCAACCATCAATTCAACCTAAGGAGCGCTTCTCATTGGTGTCAGTCAAGCGCGGGGCAGGGGCGGAGCACCGGCAGGCAGGCTCGGTCTAACTGCCATTCTCGCGCGTGGTCCCCGCCGCGCATGCCCCTAACGAGTGGCGTTCATTGGACGGGAGGGGCAGGGGAGGGGACTGGGAACGGTGCGAGCCGCGGTGTGTGGAGAAGCTGCTGCCGGTGTCATGGCGGAGCTGAGTGAGGAGGCGCTGCTGTCAGTATTACCGACGATCCGGGTTCCTAAGGCTGGAGACCGGGTCCACAAAGACGAGTGCGCCTTCTCCTTCGACACGCCGGTAAGCCCATTCCCCACTCCCGCAGCGAGCACGACTTCCTTCCATCGCACTGGTCATTCCGCCGGGGCCTGCAAGGCTTGGGCTACCGCCTCCCTGCGATGCACCATGGGACTTGTAGTTTCTCACGCGCCACTCTGCCGTTGCCCTTCATTAACTGCGGCTGTCGTGTGACTACCGCCCCCGGAAGCCGCCGCGCTCGTCTCTCACGCTCCCCGCCTCGTGGAGCACTGTGGGCATTGTAGTCGCTCACTTCCCTCGTTGCCGTTCTAAGCTAGGGGCGCAGCCTGACCGTCGGACTACATCCCCCAAGTGGACCCTTGGGAAAACCTGGCAGTCGGCCTTGTCTGCCGCGCACGGCTCTCCGGGTTTTGTAGTCTCGTGTAGGAGTGATGGGGACGACTCCCCACTGTTCTCAGCCGGGGTTGGAGTTGGGGCCTGGGGAACCGCAGTTCCTAGGCGGTTACCCGTCTGGGAGTGGGCTTTCAAGAAGTCCGGTTCAGAGAAAGGCAGAGCTTTAGAAAGCCTCCACCCCGTGGTTAATGGACAGGGGGCGGGGAGGGGAGGAAAGAAGAGAGGAAAGCTCTAGTCGTTTTTCCTTCGAAGTGAGCAATGGCCGCAGCCCCCACCCTTCCCCCGCCCCGCCAGCCCATCCCATACAGCCGAGGGAACCCCTTTTAAAGTATTCCTGGAGAGGTAGTTTCTTTCTCGGAGAATGCTAAGGCCTCTTTTCCGTCCCACTCCCACTCTTGGCTAGTGACACAAAGCCACCTCCCACACCACGCTCCACGTTTTGCAGGCTCCACCTGGTACCTCTCTGCCTTCCTGTGTCACCCTCCATCGAGGAGGTCCTCCGGGGCCTGAACTGAGAAGGCAGCAGCTTGGGTGGGATCCGCCCCCCTCACCACCCCTCCCTTCAAGCTGCTGGGCCCTGCCCAGGGTATTCTGCCAGACCAGCTCGTGGCCTGAAAACTGCAAGTCAGAGTGGAAAGCCTTCGTGACTGCATCACCAGTGCCGAGCAGAAAAGCATGATGTGAGGCCCAGTCCAGGATCATGACTGTGATTTGTGGTTTGCTTGTTGGCTAGGCTTTAATCTGGGCCTCAGACAATGTGCCGCTTCTCTGAAGTCTGGCTTTGGCAGAGGTAAAAGAAGGGTTCCCAATTCTTGGTGAAATCAGCATCTTTAATTTCCAACAGAGAAGTTTAATCACTTCAGAGCTCCCACTTTCTTCCTAGGAGGAAAAGGTTTTCCTTAAAGTATATGGTAGAAGTCAGTGGGTCCCTCTTTACACTTAACATTCATTCGCGTCTCTCTCTTTAGTAACTGCTTTAAATAATCCAAACAGGGTTTTTGTAATCTTGTGACACTTTTCCCTCTTTCACCCCAAGTCAAGAGATTTCAGTGTGCCCTGGTTATTTGCTAACCAACCTCCAGCATATTTGATTATCTTCAAATTGGGTTCATGATAGAAAGAGCTTGATTGACCTACCTGGTGAGAAATGCTCTATTTGTTCATGGACTTGCAGTACACACTGTTCTCGGAAGTGGTACGGAGCAATCTATGGGGCCAAGAACTACCTTAGACAGTGCTCTGTTTTTAATATCACAGCAGATAAATGGTCAAGGCCACTGAGGCTTTTATTCCTGGAAGAGGTTGCCTATTGTTGCTCAAAGCCTTGGATCTGAGAGAAGACTCTTATGGTCTCCAATTTCCTCCTCCACCTTCTCCATCACTCTTTATAACGGCACTGGAAAACTTGGTCAGCTTTGGGGGAAGCCCATCCTCCTTAATCAGCTGTGTTTCTGGGTGGACACCCGTCTGTCCCTGTTTTCACAGGTTATGTGTGTTCTAGCTATCTCAGCAAGTGTTTCGAGATTGTTCTCAGAAGGGCATAGCTTTGAGATTGGTGATTGTTGGGACTTCAGTAGGGATCTTGGTGGTCAGAGAGGAGGCAGAGGAGAGAGGGTGGTGGCTGTAGAATGCTGGACTTCATGACCCTGCCAGACTGGCTGCAAATTTAGCAGTGAGTCCCTAACAAGTCATTGTTCCCCTGGAGCCACGCTTCAGCAGGAGAGGAGGGAGAAGACTCACAGTGTGGACTCTGGTAGAGTGTGGTAAAGGAAAGGTCTTTTTGGCTTGATGTTTAGGCTCACTGCTGTAATCCAGCACTTTGGGAGGCCAAGGTGGAAGGATTGCTTGAGGCCACAAGTTAAAGACCAGCCTCAGCAACACAGCGAGACCCCGTCTCTTAAAAAAAACAAAAAACAAAAACAAAAACAAAAACCCTAGGCCTGGTGGCATGTGCCTGTAGTCCCAGCTCCTCAGGAGACTGAGGCAGGAAGATCATTTGCGCCTGGGAGGTTGAGGCTGCAGTGAGCTATGATCATGCCACTGCACTTCAGGTTGGATGACCGAGTGAGACCCTGTCTCTAAAATACATTTTTTTTTTTTTTTTAAGGAAAGGTATTTTTGCTCGCTGGCATACTCGGATCAGATATACTGTTCAAGTGCTTGAATCTCTGCTCTTCCAGTCTGAAAGGTCTTCTGAATCTTGGAGATCAGATAGGGTTTGTCTTAGGTGTTCCTGATTTGGGTTCAGTGTCTGATACAAGGCTTTCCTCTTCCAGGTAGGGACCCTTTTGCCCTTGGAATGTAACCTCCAGCACTGGAAGTCTATGGTATTTGATCCCCATTTACTTTCTGGATCTGTTAGCCTCAGGAAAGAGGTGAAGGGAGTCCTCTGTGATTGACTAAAAGGGCTCCAAAGCCCAAGAAGGAGCAGGAGGAAAGCGAAATGGTGACTGGTCCTGCTGCTGAACGGTGAAGACGAGCTGGTGTTCCTTAGCCCCCGATGTCCTTGTTGGTTGTTATCAAAATCATGGCAGGAGGCCGGGCGCGGTGGCTCAAGCCTGTAATCCCAGCACTTTGGGAGGCCGAGGCGGGTGGATCACGAGGTCGAGAGATCGAGACCATCCTGGTCAACATGGTGAAACCCCGTCTCTACTAAAAATACAGAAAATTAGCTGGGCATGGTGGCGCGTGCCTGTAATCCCAGCTACTCAGGAGGCTGAGGCAGGAGAATTGCCTGACCCCGGGAGCCGGAGGTTGCGGTGAGCCGAGATCGTGCCATTGCACTCCAGCCTGGGTAACAAGAGCGAAACTCCGTCTCAAAAAAAAAAAAAAAAAAAAATCATGGCAGGAAATGGGGAGAATCATAGCTATGTCCCAGGTCCTTAAAAGGCTGAATAACTTGCCACGGGCCACACAGTGTTAGAGAACAGAGCAATTCTTCTGGAACCCAGCGTTTGATTCCAGGTTTTGGTTTCCTCGCCTGGCCAGGCTTCACAACCTCATGTTTCCACCCTTACCTCTTGTCCTGCAGGAGTCTGAGGGGGGCCTCTACATCTGCATGAACACATTTCTGGGCTTCGGGAAACAGTATGTGGAGAGACATTTCAATAAGACCGGCCAGCGCGTCTACTTGCACCTCCGGCGGACCCGGCGCCCGGTAGGGACGGGGCTGGGGCAAGGGCTGGGCACATTCTGTTCCATTCCGACCTCCTGTTGGACTCAGTTTCTTTTTTTCACCTACTTATGTTTGTGTCATTAAAGCTTGGCACAGATGTTTTTTCGCTTTATTCTGTTCTGAGATGAACCACTACCTCCTCCCCTCCCTCCCCACCATTTTTTCCTTCGCTTGTGCTCATTGCCAATCCAGCCCTTCCTGCTTCATTGCAGAAAGAGGAGGACCCTACCACAGGCACTGGAGACCCGCCCCGGAAGAAGCCCACGCGACTGGCCATTGGTGAGCACCACTGCAGTTCTGTTCTTCTCCATGAGCTGGTCTTTCTGGCTCTCAGCAGCACCAGGAAAGCCCCAAAGAGTGGGCCTGATTGGTGGCCCTGGAACTCTGGATGGGGCAGACGAGGTGCTGGATCGGAGGAGGGACATTGACCTATCGTTGCTGCTCTACTCTCCCTCTTCTTCCCTGTACCTCCAGGTGTTGAAGGCGGGTTTGACCTTAACGAGGAGAAGTTTGAATTAGATGAGGATGTGAAGATCGTCATTTTGCCAGATTACCTGGAGATTGCCCGGGATGGACTGGGGGGCCTGCCTGACATTGTCAGAGATCGGGTATGACTCCCTCGCATTCTACACAAGATTCTAGAGCAAGATGGGACAGGGTAGTGATGTCTCAGGCAAGCACTGACAAAGCCGAAGGCCGCGGGGAAGAGGGGCATGTGGGGCAGGGGGTTGGGTACTGCCTCTGACCCTCTGCTTCCCCAGGTGAGCAGTGCCGTGGAGGCCCTACTGTCGGCCGACTCCGCCTCCCGCAAGCAGGAGGTGCAGGCCTGGGACGGGGAAGTACGGCAGGTGTCTAAGCATGCCTTCAACCTCAAGCAGTTGGACAACCCTGCTCGAATCCCTCCCTGGTAAAGCCTGGCCCCTCTGCCTCTGGGCACCACCCCCAGAGCAAGGGCAAGGAGACTACTTTTCTGGGGGATCTGGTGGGAGAGCAGGATAGGAAGGGAGACTTGGAAATGAACAAGACATGGGCATGGCCAGAGGAAAGGAGAGAGAGACCTCTCTCTCTGCCGCTCCCACATATTCCTGACCCACATTTCCGCTGATTCTCTTCCCCCTGGGTTAGTGGCTGGAAGTGCTCCAAGTGTGACATGAGAGAGAACCTGTGGCTCAACCTGACAGACGGCTCCATCCTCTGTGGACGACGCTACTTTGACGGCAGTGGGGGCAACAACCATGCTGTGGAGCACTACCGGGAGACCGGCTACCCGCTGGCTGTCAAGCTGGGCACCATCACCCCCGATGGAGCCGGTACTCCCTCCCCTCCTCCAGCCACTCTCACTCTCAAATGGGTTTCATTTGTTAGTGATTTCCTGTGACGTGTAGAATACGAGAATGCATTATCTTGATAAGAAAGGAAAATAGCCAGATTCAGTGGCTCACCTTTGTAATCCTAGCACTTAGGGAAGCCGAGGCAGGAGGATCGCTTGAGCCCAGGAGTTCGAGACCAGCCTGGGCAACATAGTGAGACCTCATCTCTACGAAAAAAGAAAAAATTAGCTGGATGTGGTAGCTCCTGCCTGTAGTCTCAGGTACTCAGCTGGCTGAGGCAAGAGGATCACTTGAGCAGGCGCGAGGTCGAGGCTGCAGTGAGCTATGCTTGCACCACTGGACTCCAGCCTGGGCTACAGATACCTTGTCTCAAAAAAGGAAAATACCAGAGATGAGACTAAATTTGTGATTGCTTCCTGCTCAAATCCTCATCCCGTTCCTACCAAACCTATCTTACTTTAAACTACATGGGTGGAATCAGAATCACAATTAATTACAACCCTCACCCTGTTTCATTTGTGTTCCCTAACAGTTGGTCCCAGAAGGGCTATGACCTCACTCACGTTCAGGGGAACCAAGAGGGTGGACCTTACTGGCTGTCCTGTCCCCTGGGGCAAGTCCCGTCTGGGCAAGGGATGGAATGGTGACCAGGCCAGTCCTGAGCCACTTCCCCTGATTCTCTTCCTGCCTCCTGCTCTAGACGTGTACTCGTACGATGAAGATGACATGGTCCTGGACCCCAGCCTGGCCGAGCACCTGTCCCACTTTGGCATCGACATGCTGAAGATGCAGAAGGTGAGACCCCCTTCAGCTTCAGATTCTTTGGCTTCCTACCCCTGTGAGGCCCTTCCTCCTTGCCTGAGGCTGAGGGAGGGTTTTAGAGAAATCTAGTTAACCCCTTCCCCAAGACATGTGGGCTTCTTTTAAATAACTTTCTAAAATCATTTATTCAGTGAATACTGCTGAATACCTACTATGTGATAGACGCAGTAGCAGTGTGAATAAGGCAGATGCGATTTTTGCTTATAGGAGCTCTACTCTAGAAGAAAAGGCAGACATTAGTCACGTTTCCACATGAATAAGTGAATAGTTGCAAACTGTGGTGGGTGCTATGAAAGGAAGGTGGAGGGTACTATAGTAGTTAACAGCAGGGGGACCTGGCCTAGTTTAGGGATGGGGACATTTCCTTGAGGGGGTGATGCTTGAGTGACAGTGTGAAGTAGGGGTGGGGTAACTTAAGGATGGGAAAGACATTTCAGGTAGAGGGAATTTTTATTCCTCATTCAAGCAGAGGCCCTGATGACTAACGGGCCTCTGGGACAATTATGTGTGGCCCTCTGGAACTTGAACTGGATGATACTCAACATACCTCCCATGTTTGAGCCTGTAATTTCGCAAATTCTAGGCCACAGTTGGGTATCAGCCTAGACTCAGTGAGAGATCAAGGTAAAAACTACAGGATTGAGTTTCTCACTCAGTCTGAAGTGCTCCTTCTCACACAGACAGACAAGACGATGACTGAGTTGGAGATAGACATGAACCAGCGGATTGGTGAATGGGAGCTGATCCAGGAGTCGGGTGTGCCACTCAAGCCCCTGTTTGGGCCTGGCTACACAGGCATCCGGAACCTGGGTAACAGCTGCTACCTCAACTCTGTGGTCCAGGTGCTCTTCAGCATCCCTGACTTCCAGAGGAAGTGAGTAGTGTCCTCCCCTTCCCCAGGCCCCGTCCTGGTCAGCAGCCTCTGGGCACACTCCTCCTTCAGCTGCCCTCAGCACTTCAGCATTTGTTCCCAGTTTTAGAGTAGCTCCTGTCGGCTGGGTGTGTTGGCTCACATCTGTAATCCCAGTACTTTGGGAGGCCAAGATGGAAGGATGTCTTGAGTCCAGGAGGTTGAGATCAGCCTGGGCTGATCAGCCCTTTCCTCCGAGCTCAGGCCAGAGCCCTTCCAATTGTTCTTCCCTTGATTTTTAGGTATGTGGATAAGCTGGAGAAGATCTTCCAGAATGCCCCGACGGACCCTACCCAGGACTTCAGCACCCAGGTGTACGTAACCAGGTCCTATGTAGCAAGGCTGTTGAGAGTCATGGCCGGGGACTTTCCTCCTCCATGGCCGCCCGTGGGGTGCAGCACATTACCCCTTGGCCTATCATGAGCTTTCGGGTGACTGCTCTCTGGGCGTGTTGCCTGTCTTGAGCTGGGTTCCTGTGGAATCTAAGGTTTTTCACGTTGTCGAGAGTTGGTGAGGGAGAGCCATGAGCAGGGGTTGAGTTGGGGACGCATGGGGACGTTAGTTGAAGTGAAATGTTTTCTCGGATATTAACGCAGGGCCAAGCTGGGCCATGGCCTTCTCTCCGGGGAGTATTCCAAGCCAGTACCGGAGTCGGGCGACGGGGAGCGGGTGCCAGAACAGAAGGTAGGACTCTGTCCCTTTCAGGCTCTGGGATTGTGGGGAAGCTGAGGTCTGGGAGATGTCTAAAGAAGGCTTCTGGATGGCCACTGAGCCCTAGCCGAGTCCCCTGCGCTGACTGTACCTAGGAAGTTCAAGATGGCATTGCCCCTCGGATGTTCAAGGCCCTCATTGGCAAGGGCCACCCTGAATTCTCCACCAACCGGCAGCAGGATGCCCAGGAGTTCTTCCTTCACCTTATCAACATGGTGGAGGTAAGGGCTGGGAAGATGGCACACCCCCATCTTCCTGCCATTTACTTCCTCTCCTTCCTACCCATTCCTCCCTCTGTCAGCCCCAACCCAGTCCCACCCCTGAACCCCTCCAGTCTATGTCCCTGTGAGTAGTGCTTGCACCTGAGGAGGATGGTGAAGGCGATCATCTTTACCCTTGATGGGCTCGAAGCCCAATTCACATTACGCCCAAAGACAGTGATACGAGAATCCTTACTGCTTATAAAGAAAAATACAAGCATGTTCCAACACAGTCCCTCAGTGCAGGGATGGGACCAGAAATGGGTGGGGGTCGGTTCATTAGGGAAGGTTTCCGCTCTGCATCCCCGTGCTCCTGAGTGGTAGTCTGCCTTCCCTCCCCGACTCTCCCATGAACCTTTTAGCCTTTATTCTGTTCCCTGGCTTCCCAGACCGCACTATCCTGCCTCTTTCCCATAGAGGAATTGCCGGAGCTCTGAAAATCCAAATGAAGTGTTCCGCTTCTTGGTGGAGGAAAAGATCAAGTGCCTGGCCACCGAGAAGGTGAAGTACACCCAGCGGGTCGACTACATCATGCAGCTGCCTGTGCCCATGGATGCCGCCCTTAACAAAGGTGGGTTGCTCCATCAGTAAGGCCTTGGCACGGTGGGAGGCTAAGGTCTAGGAAGAATGCTTGGGCACCTGATGGCGAGCAGAGCCCATGGAATGCCCTGCTCCACCAGCCAGGGTTCCAGTCTGGGCCACCAGGGGTAGGTAGGATTAACCTCGTCCAGTGGACTCTCAGCTTATTAGCAGAGCTGTGTGGAAACAGGCAAGATGTCTTGGACATGTGTCAGGGGGACTTTGGAAAGGCAGAGAAACTGAAACACAGACACAGAGCCGGGAGGGTGAGGCCAAGCAGGCAAAGAGGCAGCACCCTCTGAAGGGTCCACCGACCCATTCTGTCACTAGAGGAGCTTCTGGAATACGAGGAGAAGAAGCGGCAAGCCGAAGAGGAGAAGATGCCACTGCCAGAACTGGTTCGGGCGCAGGTGCCATTCAGCTCCTGCCTGGAGGCCTATGGGGCCCCTGAGCAGGTGGATGACTTCTGGAGCACGGCCCTGCAGGCCAAGTCAGTAGCTGTCAAGTAAGTCCTCTGGTCGGGGCCTGAGGCTGTGGGTCAATGCAGAGCCATCCCAGAGGATATCTCTGCCTGTTCCCTGTTCTTTCATTGCTTTGTGGTTAGAATCTCAGGGTTCAGTCAGTTGGGCTGGTAACCTGGCCCTGGTGGAATCAAGGAGCCCTGGAGGGTAGACACGGGTGGTGACTGCCCCACCTTGTCCTGCCTCACCACTCCCTCTTCTCCCGAGGCATGGATCTCTTTGTAATGTAGCCTCTCTTCACTCCCCTCAGTCGTGGCTGAGCACAGGCACTTAGGATCAGCTGTGGGCAGCATCTGGATTTCCAGCAAATGGGCCCACTTTGTGGCTAGCCATTGGCACCAGGCATGGGTGTGAGACCTGAAAGACGGCTTTGGTCTCGGGGAGTCAGCCCCCCAGCCCGTTGGCGCTCCTGCCAGTGAAACAGCCCTTCTTGCGTGTGTGCGTGTGCGTCTTGTTTTTTTGAGACAGAGTCTCACTCTGTCACCCAGGCTGGACGGCAGTGGAGCGATCTCAGCTCACTGCAACCTCCGCCTGCCCTGTTCAAGTGATTCTTCTGCCTCAGCCTCCTGAGTAGCTGGGACTACATGCACGAGCCATCATGCCTGGCTGATTTTTGTATTTTTAGTAGAGACAGGGTCTCATCATATTGGCCAGGCTGGTCTCAAACTCCTGACCTTGTGATCCACCCGCCTTGGCCTCCCAAAATGCTGGGATTACAGGCATGAGCCACTGTGCCTGGTGTTTTCTTTTTTCCTTTCTTTAAATAGAGACGGGGCCTCACTCTGTTGCCCAGGCTGGTCTGGAACTCCTGAGCTCAAGCAGTCATCCTGTCCTGGCCTCCCAGAGTGCTGGAATTGCAGCTGTCAGCCACCATGCCCGGCCTTTTTTCTTCTGTTGTTTACAGCCTGCCTTCTGGCCTCTGCTGCTCCTCGTTGGCCAAGGAAAGGCATCAGATGCCTGCCCAGGGGAGGAGAAGAATATGGAGGATCTTCTGGGTTACTGGGATTCTTACCCATAAGGGGCGGAACCCCAGGTGGGAGTTTCAGGAGAGAAGAACCCTGGGGATTCTCTGGGTACCAGCACAGTCTCTCTTCCCTAGGACCACACGATTTGCCTCATTCCCTGACTACCTGGTCATCCAGATCAAGAAGTTCACCTTCGGCTTAGACTGGGTACCCAAGAAACTGGGTATGGCTGCTGGAATGAGGGAGGTTAAGCAGAAAATGCTAGAGAAAGAAGGGGCCTTAACACATGTAAACTAGTGTTGCTCAAAACTTTTCCTCTGAAAGGGGGGAAAAAAATCACCTTGTATGTTTCAAAATGTTTCTAGTATGAAAGCACTAACTCAAAATTTTAAAAGCCTTCTTTGATTGTTATAGGTATGATTTACAACCAAAAGTGATTTTCCTAGGTTTTTTTTAATAATTGGTAAGCTGTTTTCATTTTGATAATCTTGAAATGATTAATTGTCGTGAGTCTTACAGGTCCCTGACTGTCATGTGAGAACTCATGATGTACCTTCATTTTCTAGATAAGGAAGCTGAGACTCGCAGGAGTATAAAATCATTCTGCCTCACAAGTTCTAAGCCCCCTCCCCTGTCCATAGCTCATCTGTGGTAGATCTAGGACCAGCATCCTGCTCTCCCAGCTCCCAGGCTTAGTATTATTGGTCTTATACTGGGACCCCTAAGATTGGTGCCGTGCTTTTAACAGCTCCTCTTTACAGAGCAGTTCTGACATAGGGGGCAGGGGATTGAGGTTCCTGAATCGCTTTCCAGGTAGGCCTCCGGGAGCGGCTGAGGTGACCCTTTTCCCACAGATGTGTCCATTGAGATGCCAGAGGAGCTCGACATCTCCCAGTTGAGGGGCACAGGGCTGCAGCCCGGGGAGGAGGAGCTGCCAGACATTGCCCCACCCCTGGTCACTCCGGATGAGCCCAAAGGTAGCCTTGGTTTCTATGGCAACGAAGACGAAGACTCCTTCTGCTCCCCTCACTTCTCCTCTCCGACATGTTAGTGACTCTTCTTCCTGCCCGTCTCTGTCCCGTGCTGATGGGGGCCTCTCTGCCTTGCATCCCCTGCCCTGTCCTCTGTGTGTCTCCTGTCCTCCCTTTCCAAATTCCTCTCCCCTTTTCTGATTGACGTGGGGCCTGACCGGAGCACTCCCGGCCTCCTTCTGGGCGTGGATGGCAGCAGTACCAGCTGGTGGCCTCTCTGCCCTTATTACCTCCCTGGTTCGAGTAGGGTGGGGGTATCATCTTCCAGAAACAGGGCCCATTCTGTGAGGATGGGCAGGGACCCACATTACAATTGTGTGGTCATTTTAGTCTTGGGATAAGGTGCCAATCCATGGGAGAAAAATGCATGGAATGGGTGACTGGAAGAGGGCTGGAGCCTGCCTGTGGGAGGGAGGAGGAGCAATCAGTGGTCCAATCACTCGGTCCCTGTATCCGCAATTCCCATCACAGCGCCCATGCTGGATGAATCAGTCATCATCCAGCTGGTGGAGATGGGCTTCCCTATGGACGCCTGCCGCAAAGCTGTCTACTACACGGGGAACAGCGGGGCCGAGGCCGCCATGAACTGGGTCATGTCGCACATGGATGATCCAGGTAGGCCGGGGTGGGGAGCAGGTGGGGCAGGGCCTCCATCCTCCCCCAAACACATCAACCCCTTCCCATCCACAGATTTTGCAAACCCCCTCATCCTGCCTGGCTCTAGCGGGCCGGGCTCCACAAGTGCAGCGGCCGACCCCCCTCCCGAGGACTGTGTGACCACCATCGTCTCCATGGGCTTCTCCCGGGACCAGGCCCTGAAAGCGCTGCGGGCCACGGTATGGGCTGCTTCAGCTAAGGACATGGGGCCAGTGGGGAAGAAGCGGGTGGGAGTGAGGGGCCGTCCCTCTTGAGCAAGACAAAAGACAACAGGTGTGGTCTGGCCAAGGCTGGGTACCACTCTTTTTGGCTGTGATGAAGGAGCTGAGGCCTGCTTTCGCTGCTGGTTTTCTTGCCCCAGAACTTGTTAGAAAAAGTAACGCTTCCCTCCTCTCTAAGAACAATAGTTTAGAACGGGCTGTGGACTGGATCTTCAGTCACATCGATGACCTGGACGCTGAAGCTGCCATGGACATCTCAGAGGGCCGCTCAGCTGCCGACTCCATCTCCGAGTCTGTGCCAGTGGGACCTAAAGTCCGGGACGGTCCTGGAAGTGAGTGTCCCCGGGAAGCAGGATGGGCCTGGTGGAATCTGGTCTGTCTCCAACTCCACATCCCTCACGCAGGCAGCTCTCCCCTCAGGGGTCAGCGGCTTCTCTCCACCAACGTGACATCTGAGGGTGGGGTTCTCTGACGTGGAAACAGACTCTGGCCTGGTACCTGCCTCACATTCCCTGAAACTCCTGTCGAGTCTGAGCTGTTGGCTGTCTCTGGGCCATCACTAAAGCTTTCCTCTCCTGTTTCCTTCCTTGCCCTCTCTCTCCTTCCCTAGAGTATCAGCTCTTTGCCTTCATTAGTCACATGGGCACCTCCACCATGTGTGGTCACTACGTCTGCCACATCAAGAAGGAAGGCAGGTGAGTGCTGGCCATGTGCGTTTTGAGTGGAGAATCGTGGTGAGAATGAGCAGGGGCATCTGGAAGTCCTTGGGATAGCTGTGGGAGAAGGTGAAGGGACTGCCTGATGGGGACATAAAGATGCCGGAGAGTGACAGGAGGTCTTGCAGCTGTGATTGGCCCAAGGGTTAGATCTGGCCACTGGCTTTTTTTAAGAGGTGGGATCTCAGTATGTTCCCTACGCTGGTCTTGAACTCCTGAGCTCAAGTGATCCTCCCTCCTCAGCCTCCCAAAGTGCTAGGATTACAGCTGTGAGCCACTGCGCCCGGCCAGGCCCCCTGCCTTTGTAAATAAAGGTTCACTGGAACATGGCCACGCTTGTTTATGTGTTGTCTGGGCCTGTTTTCACGCTGCGGCAGGAAAACTGACTCACTGTGTCAGAGACCAGAGGGCCTGGAGAACCTCAAATACTATCTGGCCCTTTCCAGAAAAAGTTTACCAACCCCCTGCCTCCCCGGGATGGGTGGGGGGTGGTTGTAAAGGTATTGGAGAATCCGAAGACATCAAATGGGGGTCATGACCCTTGTGAGATTGTGAAGCTCCCTTGGAGCAGGTGGTGTCTGGGCTGTGGATTTGGGGTACTGGCAGAGAATGCGGAGAGCATTTCCAGGGGCTGTGTCTGAGGGACTATGTGATGCCACCCGGAATGCCCAGTTTGTTCGTTCTTTCCTGTTCTCTCCATTTCCCCAGATGGGTCATCTACAATGACCAGAAAGTGTGTGCCTCTGAGAAGCCGCCCAAGGACCTGGGCTACATCTACTTCTACCAGAGAGTGGCCAGCTAAGAGCCTGCCTCACCCCTTACCACTGAGGGCAGGGGAAGACCACCTGGCCTGAGGGGGAGGGGCTGAGGGACGGCCTTCAGCCCCCTGCTCTGTACCCTTTTCCTTTTGTCCCTGGCAGCAGGGAAGAAGCTGGAGGCCGTGGGAGAATGGCCGGGCAGAGCGGAGGGGCAGCGACAGACTCTGGGGATGGAGCAGGAAGGGGCCGGGAGGGGCCGGCCGCCTGTCCGTAAGGAGACTTTGCTGCTTGCCCTGCCCCTGGAATCTGCAGTGCTCTGCTTCTGTGTCGCCCTGCCCAGCACCCTGGTGTGGAGGGAGGGGTCTCGTTTGTGCGCGTGGGTGTAGCTTTGTGCATCCTCTCCCAGGGGAGGGAGCACCTGTGCCTCCCCCCACCTTCGTTTGCCCCTGTGTGGTTGGTCCAGGAGGGATGTGAGGGAAATGGGGACCCCCCCCCTTGCCCTCCTGCCTCAGTCTTTCCCCCCACCCTGTCTCTTCCTTGTCCTTCTCTGGAAAATGCCAAAATACACGATGTGAATAAAAGTACAACGGCTAAAACTGTGTCCTGTTTGATACCTTGGGAGAGGCTGACCTTCTCGAGGTTAGCAAGAGGGCCGGTTAGCAGAGGGCATTTCAGAAAACTCTCCTAGCTCTGTCCCCCTCTCCCCCATAGGCAAGTCTTCACTTTTCAGTGGTTCTAGAGCTCTTGGGAAATCGGGGTTGGGTGGAGAAGTGGAGTCGAGTGACGAAATGGCTGGCACAAAGCCGAAGAAAGACGGGGTGAAAAGCCCTTCCCTCTCTGGTCACACAGGAGCCCGAGTATTTCCCAGATGTCCCTAGGGGCTAGCCGGCTTCAGTCTGGGTCTTGGTCCCTGCAGTTCCTGCCAGGCCTTGGCCAGCTGGGGCGAGGGTTGGGATACTCCTGGCGGCCTATGTCTCTGTGGACTGCCCCTCCCTCTCTCAACCCTGCATTTGCCCCGCAAGTCTTGACTCGGGTAGACTCCCTGGGTACAAGGTGCTTGCTCAGCAGTCGGGCCTGAGCTGCTCCGACGGGGGAAGGGGGTTCTTTATTCCACAGATGGAGAGGGACCCTCTCTGCCCCAGTGAGCTATTTGGGCTACGGGCCAAGTTGCCACGAGCTAGCTCCGCTGAACCACATCTGGCCCCGTGGGGGGGCTCAGTCGCCAAGCGAGAGCTCACAGGTGTCGCCATGCCCCCAAAAGCCCTGCCATCGTGGCAGAGGCGACCGAGCCCCCGACGCCCCTAGAACGTTGCTAATAAGAAGGGAGAACGTCAGAACAGTGCCACGCCGGGCGGCGGCCGGGTGGCGGCAGGAGGGCGGGCGGGGGGCAGGGCTCCGGGCGACGGGGCGGGCCATGGCGGAGGACGGCGAGGAGGCGGAGTTCCACTTCGCGGCGCTCTATATAAGCGGGCAGTGGCCGCGGCTGCGCGCTGCCACTGACCTTCAGTGCCTCGGATCCAGCGCCATGGCTCCCTCCAGGAAGTTCTTCGTGGGGGGGAACTGGAAGATGAACGGGAGGAAGCAGAATCTGGGGGAGCTCATCAGCACTCTGAACGCGGCCAAGGTGCCGGCAGACACCGGTAAGCCCCGGCTGGGGAGAGGCTGGGCCGGGCCGGGCCGGGGCCAGGGCGGGAGTGGCAGCGCGCTCTCCCGAGGCCCCGAGTCCGGTGTCCGCGCGGACCTGATGCAGGGCTGGGGGACGAGGGCCGCTGGGGTTCTGGCAGGGGCCCCGCAGCCGCAGCCCTGTCGGTGCGTCCAGGGGACAGGGCGGAGCACGTGATGCCCCCTTGGACTGTGGGGGAGGAAAGGACGTTTTGGGTCTCCGGGAGGAAGGTGGCCCCGGGGCGCACATTGAGGCTGTGCCCGCCAGGCGCCGGGATTAGGAGCGGAGCCCGAGGCTTTGCGGGCGACCGGGGGAGGCTGACCGCAGCCCCCGGGGTTGGGGAGGAGGCTGGGCCGCGTGCGCTTCCCGCTACCTGCCCCACGGCCTCCGGCGCCGTGCGCCGCCGCACGTCGCCCCAGACTCCTCCCTCGCCTTGCCTGCGGCAGAGTCCCAGTATCTCGCTGTTCCGGGCCCGTGAGCCCCCAGCTCCGACCCCTTCCCTGCAGCAGCCTCAGCGACTCCTGCCTTCCACGGAAGGGACCGAGCTGGTGCCAAACAGGCTGAGCGATCTGGGAGTGAGGAGCCATCCTACCGCTTTCCCCAACCTGGAAACGAGAACGCTCAAGGCCTCTGAGTCAGTTAGCTCTGTCCCACCCACGGGCAAAGGATGCTCTCCTCCATCTTCACTCCTACCCCCTCAACCGAAATCAGAACCTCGGGCCTGATCCAAAGAGGCATCCCCTTCTTGTTCATTCCCCAAAGGCCCCAGAGGCCCCCATACAGTCCCCAAGAGTTGGCCCCTTCTCCTTTTACTACAAATCCTTGCCTTGTAAAGGGGAGGTGAGGATGGGCTATTTTAGAAGGGGGCAGGGTTGGCCCCTAGAGAATGCTGAGTCTGGGAGGTGCCTATACCCAGAATAGCTCGAGGAAATTGGAGCCACAGCTGTTAAAAGAGCAGAGGGCAGGGTAAGGGCCGTGGCCTCTCAGGGGTACCTGGAAGGCTCTGCCAGTTGAATGCAGGCCCAGCCTGGGCTGGGAAGTGGACAAAGGTTATCTTGCTGGGGTGAAAATCGGGGGAGAGTAGAACCAAGAAGAGGGTGTCGGCTGGGGGCCCCAGGACTCTGGTTAGGAGTTGTGGCGAATGAAGGCTTTCTTTAGTCTCATCCCACTGTGGGACCCTCTTGTCCTCAGAGGTGGTTTGCGCTCCTCCCACGGCCTATATCGACTTCGCCCGGCAGAAGCTAGATCCCAAGATTGCTGTGGCTGCGCAGAACTGCTACAAAGTGTCTAACGGGGCCTTTACTGGGGAGATCAGGTGAGATGGAGGTGGAGAGGGTATGAAGGGAAAGCCACAGGTGGGCTCCCTGCTGAGCCTTGACTTCCTCTCTTCCTTTAGCCCTGGCATGATCAAAGACTGCGGAGCCACTTGGGTGGTCCTGGGGCACTCAGAGAGAAGGCATGTCTTCGGGGAGTCAGATGAGGTTAGTAGCCAAGAGAGGAGATAAGGGATGTATTTGTTCAAGAAGGATGTCTCACCAAGTCTGTTTTTCAACAGCTGATTGGGCAGAAAGTAGCCCATGCTCTGGCAGAGGGACTTGGAGTAATCGCCTGCATTGGGGAGAAGCTAGATGAAAGAGAAGCTGGCATCACTGAGAAGGTTGTTTTCGAGCAGACAAAGGTCATCGCAGGTATCTCTGGAGAAAGGGGCCTTTGAACCTAGCCAGGGCCACAGAGACTCAGAGGGTAGGGTCAGGCCCTGGAGCATGTCTTGGTCCCCATGCTGATCCAGAAAAGGAAAAGGCAGTGGGAGGGGGAGTTGAGTGAGCATCTTTGCTTGGTGCCTATCACTTCTCCAGCCCCCAAGGTAGATGCCACCTGGAAATCCCCCAATGACCACCAGGGGGCAGCCGTGGGCCACCGTTCTTCAGACTCTGGGGAATCTGTCTGGACAGCTCCTTCCTGTCCACCCTTCCCTCCATCTGTGATCTCTGCCCTGCAGATAATGTGAAGGACTGGAGCAAGGTCGTCCTGGCCTATGAGCCTGTGTGGGCCATTGGCACGGGCAAGACTGCAACACCCCAACAGGTAAATGAGCCCAGGAGCCCTGCTCTCATCCCAGTCTGCCACAGGTTTGGACAGACACAGACCATCTAGGCCAACCCCTGATTTTAAAGACTGGGAGACCCTGAGCCCAGAGACAGTGCCCAGTCCAGGGGCATCCATTCCATGGCCTGGCTTGGATCTGAGCCTTGGTACTCAGACTCAGTCAGAAACCACACTAAGTGTCCACTGGTGCCACTGATTTTTCCTCTTAGAATGAGAGGCAGAAAAGGTAAGGCTAGCGTCTTGTTCTAGGCCCAGGAAGTACATGAGAAGCTCCGAGGATGGCTTAAGTCCAATGTCTCTGATGCAGTGGCTCAGAGCACCCGTATCATTTATGGAGGTGAGTGGCTTTGCTTCCCGGCTGAGGTGGAGTGGGCTGAGGGCTAGACTGAGCCCTGGGACATGGGGGTGGGGATGGGGCGTACTGATCCCATCCTTGACCAAGCCCTTGTTCTGCTCCCTTCCCAGGCTCTGTGACCGGGGCAACCTGCAAGGAGCTGGCCAGCCAGCCTGATGTGGATGGCTTCCTCGTGGGTGGTGCTTCCCTCAAGCCTGAATTCGTGGACATCATCAACGCCAAGCAATGAGGCCCATCCATCTCCCCTATCTTTCCTGCCAAGCCAGGGACTAAGCAGCCCAGAAGCCCAGTAACTGCCCCTCCCTGCACATGCTTCTGATGGTGTCATCTGCCCCCTCTTGTGGCCTCATCCAAACTGTACCTTCCTTTAACGTTTATATCTTCACCCTGTAATGGCTGGGACCAGGCCAATCCCTTCTCCACTTACTATAATGGTTGGAACTAAACATCACCGAGGTGGCTTCTCCTTGGCTGAGAAGTGGAAGGGGTGAAATTTACTAGTGGGTCCCTTCGGCCCTAGTGCGGGCGGGAGAGAAACCATCCTCACCATGAGGCCAAGATCCTCCCCTCAGAAACCAGGAGTGCTGCCCTCTCCCACGGTGCCCGCACCTATGTGTGTGTGTGTGTATGTGAACCACCCACGTGTGAGGGAATAAACACCTGGCACTAGGTCTTGTGGTCTGTCCGCCTTCACTGGACTTGTCCATAAAATCTTCCTTTTGGAGGCAGCTATAGAAATTATCCCTTGTGCAAAAAAACAAAACCATAAACAGGTTGTTGTAACAACACCTCTTAGTATTTTTACTTCAAAAACAGTTTTGCGTAGCCGACTGCCATAGCCTTGAACGCTGTCTCTCTCTCTTCCTCCCTCTGAGTGGCTCTGGGGCTGTTGATTTCCCCAGAGCTTGGGTCGGGGTAGGGGCCCAGCCTCACTGGCTTTATAGCTGGTCTAGGCCAGCAGTGCCTCCCCACCTCCTCCAAGGGCAGGGGTGGTGGCAAGGCCCCAGCACAGTCTGTGGTATCACAGGGCTCACTGGTAGAGCAGGTAGCGCTTCATGGCAGGGGGCAAGGGCAAGGCAGACACCTGGCCAAGCCGGGTATCCCCCAGGGTGTGGCGCACACACAGGCGGCTCAGATGCAGAAGGGAGTGTGGCTCCGCTGGGAGAGAGAAGGAGGTGGAAGGTGAGTATGGGTGCAGCCACCAGCCAGACGTCCTCAGACTGCAGGGTCCTGCCCAGATGCCTTTCTGCTTTCCTGCTTTGAGTGTGCCCACCTTAGCTGAAAGGGAGATCTGAGATGCCCCGAAGTGCCGCCTCCCAATGAAGATTTCACACATCCCCAGTCAGAGCTGGGGATGAAGTGCTGGCTAAGGCCCTCTAAGCAACAGGCCAAGGTAGCTCTGACGGTGGTGGAGCTGACCCAGGCTTTGACTCCAGGGGCTTGGGAGCTGGGGCTGAGGTGCGGAAGGATGGCTCTCCACTCTACAGCTCACACACCTGCAGAGAGCAGCTCCAAGCCCTGGCCCCAGTCAGTTCCTGGGGAGGCTCCTCCCCTGCTGCCCCACCCTAAGGCCCTGCCTCCTCCCTTGTGCCCAGGGCCCCAGTGGCTCCATCCTGAGGTCTGGCTGAGGAAGGAAGTAGGTATGTGGCACAGAGGTCAGAGCCCAGGGAACCCCGTACACACCCTGGGTGCCCAGCTCTGCCCTTGCTCACGGGTTGGGATCTCCTGAACCCCCTCAGCCCTGGTGTGCCTCCCTCCATCCTTACCACTTACTGGCCAAGAGAAACTTGAGAAAGTTGCTTTCTCAGGCCTGTTTCACCTCTAAATACAGCTGTGAAGACCCCTAGCCTATCCCAGCACTGAACAGAGAAAAGAGGCAGGTTGGATGAAGGTCCATCCCCTCTGCTCTTGTCAAAGAGTTTCCATCCCAAACCGCTGCCACCAGGGACAGAAAGTTCTCCCCGCACCTGCCCAATGCCTCACCTCTCCTTTCGCCCAGGTAGCGGATGCGGACCTGGCACTGGCCCCAGACAGCGCTTACTGCCGGATAGAGGGTCCTGCCCTTCAGTCCACGGAAGGCTGGCCCCAGGTAGGTGCCCCCAATAGCGTAGCCCAGGGTTCCCTCCTCCATGTCCAGAACCACCAGCAGCCTCTCTGGCACCTCCAGCTGCTCACCCTGAGTTCCTGCTGGATACTGGGGGGCCCCGGGCCCCTTGCTCTGATGGTACAGCTTCCCCCGGCCGATGTCCCAGCCCCACGACTCGCTGTTGCTGCCCAGCAGCGCCGCGTAGTGGTCAGCCTGCAGCGGGGCGAGGGCCGTGGCCACGCCGACCACGGCATGCGTGCCCCTCTGCCCGGGGGGCCAGCCGATCTCCCAGGCGTGCAGGCCGCTCGAGTAGCCCCTCTTACCCCGGGCCCCATCGGTGCTCTGGGCCACGGGCCGCCGCTCAAAGTACAACCCCCTTTCCTTGACCTCGATGTTCTCTGAACAGTCTTTGGGGTTCCAACCGTGGCGCCGTTGGGTCCCCAGGTCAGGAGGGGGTGCAGACAGCAGCTCTTCCAAGCCCTCGGGACAGGAGAGGTCAGGGTACAGGGCCTGTGGGGTGGGGGTGCTGCTGCTGCCCCCCGCCAGGGCCGTCTGGCCCATGGACGTGAGGAGTTGGAGAACTCCCCGAAAGAGGCTTGCTGGGGCGTCTCCTGAAAGTTGAGCTCCAGTGTGGAATTGACCTGGAAGGGAGTTGGGGTAGAAGGGGCGTGAAGAGCAGAACCCCGGCGGGGGCTCGTCACCCAGGCACCCCATCCTTTCACCCAGGTTTGCCAGCTGGCCCGTCCTCCCTCCTCGCTGCCCCAAAGCTCCTGGGCCCACCAACTGCCCTCGCCCCATCTGTCCCAGATCGCCCGAGACGCTCGCGAGTTTCCCCACTTAGGGCGTCAGCAGGGACCATGCCCCTCCCCCGCCCTGAGCCCTCGCCGCTGCCCCGAACCTCGGTTGGCTTCCCAGCCCTGGAAGTTGCCGGGCCTCTGGAGGAGCCGGGCGGAAAGAAGCCGAGGCGCGCGGGCGTAGACCGCCAGCCGCTTCCGCCCCCGGCCCCTCCCCAGGGCCGCGCCCGCCCTGTGGCCCCGCCCCTCCGGGGCCGCCGGGATGTTAACCCTCTCCTCGCCGTCCCGGGCCGCGCGGCCCCGAGGCCACGCCCCTGCAGAGCCCCGCAGTCACCCCTTTCCTCGGCCGCAGCCGCGGAGAGCGCGCCCCGCCCCCGTGGAGCCCACCCCGGCGGTTAACCTTAGATCTCCGCCCCCACTGCGACCCTGCCCGAGGCCCCTCCCCAACGGCGAAGTCCGGGGGCGGTTAACCCTTCTCTCGCTGCGACGGAGTGCGCACCTGGGCAGGCCCAGCTCATAATGAACGCTTTGATGGCATCACCGCCTCTGGAATCCCTGGGGATGGTGTTCTCCACCGTCAAGACCTTTGGGCCGCCTGTGCAGCCAACTCCTGCGCCCCTGAGGATAAGGAACATGGGGTCGAGGAGGGGCTCCCTTGTGCTGACTCCCATTTCCATTTCCCTGTGATGCTGGGTCACTGTTTCTGGGTTGGTCCCTTTCTGCTGGGGTTGTGAGTCAGCCTGTGCCACCCCTGTGGCTCTGAACTCTGTCAGGCTCTGGGCTGTACGTGTCATAGTTCTCCCTGCTGGTCCAGTCTTCACACTGGATGCCAATCCATTACTGGGCCATTGATCTCATTTGGTAGAGTGTCCTGGCTAAGTCTTCAGGTTTGGGTGAAGCTATGCCACTATTTAGCTGTGTGATCTTGGGGAACTTGCCACATTACTGTTTTGTTTTGAGACAGGGTATTGCTCTGTCACCCAGGCTGGAGTTCAGTGGTGCCATCAGCCCACTGCAGCCTTGACCTCCTGGGCTAGATCCTCCTACCTCAGCCTCCTAAGTAGCTGGGACTACAGGCATTTGCTACCACACCCAGGTAATTAAAAAAATTTTTTTTAGAGACAGGGTCTCCCTATGTTGCCCAGCCTGGTCTCAAACTTTTGGGCTCAAGCGATTCTCCTGCCTTGGCCTCCCAAAGTGCTGGGATTTCAGGCATGAGCCACTGTGCCCTGCCCCAGAGTTGTGTAGTTTTCTGTAAAGTAGAATGGGAGCAATGATGGTACTTACCTCACAGGGTTGTTGTGCAGTTGAAATAATCCAGGTAAAGCGTGTGACACAGAGCCGGGTACATAGCATGCACTCACCAAGCATCGCTGTCAGTGTGCTTACCGAGTGCCGACACTGTAAGGAGGCAATGGCCAAGGATGCAGCTGTGGAAGCAGACTGCCCGGGCATGAGTACCTGAAGGCCAGTGTGTGTACGACCTTGGGCAAATCACTCAACCTCCCCGTGCCTGTTTCTTTCTAAGACAGAGATCACATTAGTGTCTGTTGCATGGGGTTGGTAATGAGGATCAAATGAGGTTATCCTTGTAACACATTTGGAACAGTTTCTGGTTCGCATTTAATGATTTGTGCTAAGCACTGGAGATGAAGCAGTGAATCCTTAAGGACTTTTATAAAACAATGTATCATGTAGTAATAGTAAATGATATTTTGGAGATAAAAAGAATAAAAGGAATAGGACTCCTATCCAGAGTTCAAGCAGCTAGGAAAGGAACATGTCCTTGAGGAGGCGACACCTGAGCTGAATCTTAGAGGATGACTAGGAATTGGACTGAGACGGGCCACTTCTCTGCAGTGTGGAGGTTGGGTTAGGATTGCTGCATGTAGAAGACATTCTAGACAGAGAAGTCTGCAGGAAAAAAAACCAAGAAGCAGCAGGTTTGGGGAAGTACAATAGCTTCACGGTTGCTACAGCCAGGAAGGAAGCATGAGAGGGACCAGAGAAGTAGACACGAAGTCACGGAGGCCTTCTAGGCTGAGTTAAGGAATGTAAATATTTTCCCATAAGACAGGCCAGTGATGGGGCGCCATTGTAGGATAGAAGCAGGAGAGGAACCTGGTCAGATATGCATTTGATTTATTTTCGTATTTTGAGCCAGGGTCTCACTTTATCACCCAGGCTGTAGTGGAGTAGTGTGATCATGATTCATGGCAGCCACAACCTCCTGAGCTCCAGCTATCCTCCCACTTCAGCCTCCTGAGTAGCTGGGACTACAGGTGCATGCCACCATGTCGAACTAATTTATTTTTATTTAAAAATTTTTTAGCCGGGCGCGGTGGCTCAAGCCTGTAATCCCAGCACTTTGGGAGGCCAAGGCGGGTGGATCACGAGGTCAAGAGATCGAGACCATCCTGGTCAACATGGTGAAACCCCGTCTCTACTAAAAATACAAAAAAATTAGCTGGGCATGGTGGCGCGTGCCTGTAATCCCAGCTACTCAGGAGGCTGAGGCAGGAGAATTGCCTGAACCCAGGAGGCGGAGGTTGCGGTGAGCCGAGATCGCGCCATTGCACTCCAGCCTGGGTAACAAGAGCAAAACTCCGTCTCAAAAAAAAAAAAAAAAAAAAAAAAAAAATTTAAATTATTATCTTTTAATTTAAAAAATAGAGACAGAGTCTCAGTCTCATTCTGTTGCCCAGGCTGGTCTCATACTCCTGGGTCAAGTGATCCTCCTGCCTCAATGTCCCAAAGTGCTGGGATTATAGGCGTGAACCACTGTGCCTGGCCAGATCTGCATTTTGGGATAACTACCCTGACAGCAATGTAGAGGAGGCTTCAAGGGAAATAGGACTGGAAGCAAAGACACCATTTATAGCAGCCCAGGTGACAAGTGTCAAGAGCCTGAAATAGGACAGTAGAAATAAGAATGAAAAGAATTCAAGAAACACTGATGAAATGGCAAGATCTGGTGACTGATTAGATGTGGAGTTAAGGCCGGGCGCGGTGGCTCACGCCTGTAATCCCAGGACTTTGGGAGGCTGAGGCAGGCGGATCACCTGAGATCGGGAGTTCAAAACCAGTCTGGCCAACATGGTGAAATCCCATCTCTACTAAAAATACAAAAATTAGCCAGGTGTAATGGTGGGCACCTGTAATCCTAGCTACTTGGGAGGGTGAAGCGGGAGAATTGCTGGAACGTGGGAGGTGGAGATTGCAGTGAGCCGAGATGGTGCTACTGCACTCCAGCCAGGGCGACAGACCCAGAGCGACACTCTGTCTCAAAAAAAAAGGTTAGTTTCTAGCTTGGAAAAATTGATTGGATGATGGTGCCACCAATCAAGATGGAGATGACAGAGGAGTAACTGGGGGCAGGGGCAGGAGGGTGGGAGAGGGAGATGGTGAGTTCAGTTTAGGATGTGTTTCTGAGGTGTCTGAGCCACAAGCAAATAGAGCCATTCAGAACACACTAGAAAATGGCAGGTCTGGGGGCCGAAAGAGACGCCTGGGCTGGAGACAAGGATTTGGGAGGGGTGTCAGCTGTTGGTCAGGAGTTGAACTATGAGAATGAGTGAGTGAAATATGGGTGAGGGGACAGAGAGAGAGAGTTCAGAGCAAGAGGAGGATCAAAGAGAGCACAACAATGTGGAAAATACAGTTTTCATTGCTTACAAGATTGTTTTGGTCAAAGGTTACTTGCAACCTTAGTGGGAGAGAGCACAAGTGGGGACTGGGAGGTGGGACTTCAGGCTGAAGGGGCTGGACTGTCACTGCGCTACAAGCTTCATGTTTTGAAGGAATAGAAAATGAAAAGTAAATTACAATTATGTCACACAGATAAAGGTACCTGAGAAAATCCCTTAGTAGGCTGGGTGCAGTGGCTCATTCCTGTAATCCTACCACTTTCAGAGGCTGAAGCAGGAGCTTGAGCCCAGGAGTTTGAGACCAGCCTGGGCAACATAGTGAGACCCCATCTCTACCAAAAAAATAAACAAATAATAATAATAAAATAGGCCTAGCACAGTGGCTCGCTCCTGTAATCCCAGCACTTTGGGAGGCTGAGGCGGGCAGATTGCTTAAGGTTGGGAGTTTGAGACCACCCTCAGCATGGTGAAACCCCGTCTCTACTAAAAAAACACAAAAATTACCCAGGTGTGGTGGCAGGTCCCTGTAATCCCAGTTACTCAGGAAGCTGAGGCAGGAGAACTGCTTGAACCCAGGAGGCGGAGAGTGCAGTGAGCCGAGACTTGCTTCACAGGTTTTTTTGAATCTTGATTGCACATACAGATTTTTTTAGTTTCTTTTCTTTTCTTTTTTTCTGTTTTGCCACTTTGGAGATAAGACTTGTATGCTAGGGAAGGGAATTGTTTTTTCGGTTGATTGTCTCACAACCTGCTTGATGGCCTTTCAGATGCATCATGTTACACAGAAAGGAAGTATCTGAAAACACTACAATCTCCGCTGGGTACCATGTCTCATACCTGTAATCCCACCACTTTGGGAAGCCGAGTTGCATGAATCACGAGATCAGGAGTTCAAGACCAGCCTGGCCAAGATGGTGAAACCCTGTCTCTACTAAAAATACAAAAAAATTAGCCAGGTGTGGTGGCAGGCACCTGTAATCCCACCTACAGCTACTCGGGAGGCTGAGGCAGAGAATTGTTTGAACCTGGGAGGCAGAGGTTGCAGTGAGCCAAGATAGTGCCATTACACTCCAGCCTGAGCGAAGAGCAAGACTCCGTCTCAAAAACAACAACAACAAAACACTACAATCTAGTTTAAGACACAAAACAGTAGAACCGCTATCAGCTTCACAAGATACACACTGAAGGGCCCCGAACTGGGGCCCAGAGAACAGTCTTCCATCTCCCACTCACAGGAATGGGGCCTGGCCGCACTCTGCCCTATTTAATCTGAGCATTGTTAAATGAGTCTGCAATGAAACGCCGCATTTCCTTCAATCCTCACAACAAAGATAACGCAATTTTTAGATGCTTCAACTGAGGCTTAGAGAAGTTAAACGCCTCGTCCAAGACCACAGAACTGGAAAACGGCGAGGTCAGGATCCAACTCCGAAAAGCCTCCCCTGGCGGGGCGGGGGAGGAAATGGCAAATGACCAGCCGAATTTATTTTTTCTTCCTGAGACGGCGTCTTGCTCGGTCCCCGGGCTGGAGTGCAATGGCGCAATCTCGGCT